TGTGTTTCTATATGAACATCTTGGAGAGAAAAATAATAGAAAAATGCACACACATTATATGTATACATGCGCTCTCTCTCGCTCTCTACATATGTTATCGATACCTTTGGAGAGGGAAGATGATGGAAAAAATGCACACACGTATTTGTGTGTGTGTGTATATATATATATAGCTATAAACTAGAGGGACAGCTCTATGTGGCTGTGCACATAAAATTATACAGAGAGAGGGAATGATAGGAAATGTACATGTATAAGGATTATAAAATTATAATTATGTATATTTCATATATATGTGTATATACACACACACACACACAAAAATGCGGCATATATATGCATGCATAGATACACATGCGTATATCTATGCACACACACACTCCTTTATATATAGTTACACGTGTGTTTGTATGCATTTATATACATATATACTTATCTCCACGTGTGCACACACACACACACATATGTAGAGATAAGTACATACATATAGATTTATACATATTGTGTGGATATGTATCCACAGAGTCACATATGTATGAATGTATATGCATACACACAGTATAACCATGAGGAGGTGTGGGAGATTTTTCTCCTCTTTCAAACATGCATTTTTAGCTATCTAATGGGTGTGTGTGTATATGCATATATACCCTCCCCCACACACACATTTACATTTAATCTACCTATTTACCTGCGAGATACTATTCCTACGTATAAAAAGTCATGGGAAGTGGCCAACTAAGTCTGGCCAGGGAAATGGCCCGAGCACAAAGCATTTCTTTACATACACACATACAAAATTGTGCATGTGTGTATAGTTAAATGCATATGTATGTCTAATATTTGTGTGCGTGTATATACACACACACACACACGCATATGTTTTCCCTGTGTATGCACTGCCCATATATGATATATTTGAGCGCTATCAGTCATGTCACACACATAGACGCATACACACACACACACACGGGATACAGTTCAGCCACACGTGTCTGTGTGTGTATGGTCACAAGTGCACACGTGTCCCTAGCTCTAGTTTTGTAAGTGAGCTGTGAAAAGAGACGAGGGTGGCAAGAAACCAGGTGTGTGTGTGTGTGTGGGTGGGGGGGGAATGTCTCTCTGTTTCTCTGTCCCTGTCTCTCTGTCTTTCTCCCTCTCTTGCTCTCACTGTATATTTTTATGTATATTTATATACTGGGCCGGGACAGGAAGGTGAAATTATGTGTTTTCCCCCCAGATAATAAAAGGCATATTATTATTAATAAAAGGCATAGGATGGGGGGGAGGTTCAGTGGGATTGCTCGCATCCTCACACACTTGTGCAAACACATATGCATACACGTATTGCTGTATGTTTACATATATATATATATATATACACACACATTTATGTATATATGTGTATCTACATATATCCACACATGCAGTATAACCACGGGGTAAATGTGTGTGCGTGTATGTGTGTATACATGCATACTTACATATATGCACACATGTGTGTGTGTGTATATATATGGAAATGTACATATATACCCATGCAGTATAATCATGAGGATAAAAGGCTGTGTGTATATATGTATACATACATACACACGGATGTGTGAATATGTATTTGCATATGTACATATATACACACACATGCAGTATAATTGTGAGGATGGGGGTATATATGTATACATACACGTGTGTACATGTATACACACTCACACACACACGCAATATAACCATGGGGATAAAGGTGTGCGTGTGTGCATGTATGTATGCATACATAGGCACACACGTGTGTGTATAATCATGAGGGTAAAGGTGTAGGGGAGTCTGTGTGTATAGATCCTCTCGTTCACTCTTTGTGTACACAGCAATCTCTCTCTCACACACAGGGATATAAAGAAATATTAAAGTAAAATTTATGAGGAAGTATCTGTGTGTGATATATGAACATCCCAGAGAGAGTGCAAAAAGTAATAGCAAATGCACTCACACTATACATATGTATGCTCTCTATATGCTATAGGTATTTACAGAGAGAGAGAGAGAAGAACTACGGGGCTAGGTCTGTGTGTGTATGTATATGCGTGTATGTATAGGGTATAGGGGGTGTGGGTGTCATTTCCTCCCTCTTTGTGTGTGTGGATATGGCGAGAGTGAAGAGATCTCTCAAATAAAACTATATGTGAGTGGCTATCTGTATGGGCATGTGTGATCTCTGTATTTGTTATATATTCAAAGAGAAAATGATGGAAATAGATGTACACATGCACATCCATCCATATATACATGTAGCTGTAAAACAGATAGCTCTGTGTGT